ATACTAAACATATCCGTTTAAATAAGTTCAAATTCAATACAATTTTGACGGATATAGATTTATACATGTACTGAGTATACTTCTCATAAACCTGGAGCATTGACTGAATGAGTCGTTAACTCCTAGCGGTCAATTTAATCAGAGGAAAAAAGGTAAATATTTTGGTTTTTTTACTTTTGACCAAATTAATTTTTTTTTTTTTTTGTTTTTTTTTTGCCTATTACCGACCGGGTACTTTTACAAGTATAAGTTTTTAAATATAATTTTTTTGGGGAAAGCCGTGAATTCATAGTTACAATCAGGGGAAATTTTAATACATTCATTCAAGATATCATTAACTTGAGTTCTTCTTTTCAAAAAATTATCTCAAATACCATAAATACTGATACTGAAAGAACAATTGAACAATTTTTAAAAGTTGCCATAAACGTCTTTCTTTAACAAAGGCATTCGGCACATTGCTGCTATATAATTTGTTTTCTTTTTCAGTGAATTGTAATGGTTCGTTGGTTTCTTCTAGATCTTCACTTTGTTTTGCTTAGTCACCCAGGGTTTTGCAAGGAAGCTTTTTCGTGCCTTGTTTTTGTTTACTGATATAGAAAATATAATATTTATTACATTACAAGATTTAGTAAGTCACTAGAAACTGTCTAAAAGTATTTAGAATTAAGTTTATTTTTATTGAAAAATCTGCTTTGAACGAACATATATTAATAAATTTAATCTATGTAAACTAGAGGGACTGTGAGCAATGAGCTCACTAAATGATACTCCCGCCTCCCATATGAATATAATGGCAGTGTCCATGTTTTAATTTGCTGTGGGAAATCCAAAATATGTGTCGGATCAAAAAGTAAAATAGGAGGTGCACAATGGCAAGATGTTATAAAGATTCTCTCAAAGTTTCATCGAATTTCATTCAGTGGTATGAGAGGAGTTGCAGATAAGAGATCAGTACCTCAAAGCGGTACAGACGGACGGGCAGATGGACAGCTAGACGGACGGACGGACAGACGGAGGTACAGACGGACATACTGATTACTATATACACTTCCGCTTTTCAAGCGGGGGGTATAACAAAAACATGACACTAGTCTAGTTTACATAACAAAGGTTCTGAGCTCTAAATCTGTCTTGTATCTCGACAACTGAAATTCAAGCTTTTGATAATCATTAAAAATATATATTTGCAATCATAAAAAAAAATAAATTTGCAAGCTGAAAGCCACAGCAAGTGGTTTCTTCTTTTCAGGTAAAAATTTTTGAAAAAAAATTCTGCTTTCTATAGAATCCAAAAATAGGTGTGCTAATAACGGGACACAAATGGCGCCCATGGGAAATCCAACAGATTGTTGAGAAACCTGGTCTCAAAAACGTCAATCAAAAATTTGAGCATTTTTAGATACTGTGAAATCACAAATTTTCTAATGTCCACCTTGAAATGAAATTTTTCACATATCTTATTACTGAAAAATTCTTCAACCACGAAATCAAATCCCCATTACCACTATATTTTCCTTAAACAACGAAAATTTGACCCCTTGAAATATGTGATTTTACAGTATTAACTCTTGAGTACATGTACTTGTTTCTACAGCTATTTAATCAATCACAATTTGTTTTTATTCTAAAAAAAGAATTAAACATAAACCACAAAATACGTCTTGCATGCACGTCTTCCATGCAGAAATTTATTACTGATATAAAGGGCAATGGAGCTCTACCGGTATACCGGTATTTAGTGTATTCCTCCACCAAACTTTTCTATTTCAATTCTTCTTTTTCAAATTAGATACATGTATTTACACAAGTTTTTTTTCTTATTCGTGTATTCTGATATGTCTGATATGTATAATTATGTGATTTTAAAATCTCTTTTACGGGTTGGGGGGGGGGGGTATACGCAAGCCTGCGAGGAGCTCAAATATTGCTATGAGTATCTATGCATCCATGTGAAATGACGTGGATTTTACCACATGTAACAATGTTGATTCTGATCTCAAAGTCCCGACTTTTATATTGATTTATTGATGCAAGAAAGAAACACCACGTCCATGCATATCTTGGTGCCTAACGACTGTACTGTATTACTCGACACACACAGGCCTGGAAATGAAACAAGGAATTCTGCAAAATTATCCATAGGCCTATAATGGAATTATTTCACAGTTAAATACATTGCGAGAGGGGGAAAGGGAGAGAAAGAGGAACTGAGAAATTATTCATCGCTCCACAGTTCATAAATTCAAACACATTGAGAGAGAGAGAGAGAGAGAGAGAGAGAGAGAGAGAGAGAGATTATTCATCGCTCCAAAGTTCATTTATGGACAAAAATGTATATCCTTTATCTCAGAGGGGGTAAATTAAGACTCATAGTCTGCAGATTCATAAATAGGAAATAAGAACCAAAACAAACACAACAAATTTCTATAGAGAATTTATTTATCATTGTGGTTATGAAATAACACCCTGAATCACTGGCTAGCCGAATCAGAGTCCTTATCTCAGAATAAACAATCGGGCAGCGGGAGGGAGTGACGTCATCCATTTTCAAAATCTTAATAAAATGCGACTCGCACACCAGCTAAATCACACGCAAAAATCCTAAGTTTAATGCAATACTTAATTGTCAAATAAAGTGTCATTATTTTTCTCAACTTTTTGAAAGAAAAAAAATTAAAGGAAGTAAGATATGACCTTAATATTGGGACAAGTTGACCGCGTGTTTCCGATTCGTTGAGATTTGTTTCTGGTCTGATGGTTTTGTGGGGGATTTCTAATTTAGTCACGCTTCAGTTCACCACGGCCCCCTACGGCAGATACACCCGTCCCGGGTGGGGTTGCCTCCTGCCTGCCAAGCTCGCCTGGTTCCTACAGGAGTTACCGTCCTTTGTTGTGCCGCTTATAATTCTCTCAAGGTGGCGTTATGATGAATTAGTGAATATTCATGGGAACAACATGATTTTGACTGGATGCTTTCTGTTACACTACTTTCACAGGTGAGATCTTAGTAGCCTTTTTTGTCAGTCCGTTGTTTATGGTTTTAAAAAAAGTTCAATATAAAAGAATACTGAAGATTATTCAAGAGAACTTTTTTTACTGAATTCTGAATTTCTTATTGCAAGCTTTTAACACGTCATGGTATTACACATATCAATTGATCATGCGTTGACGAAGAAATTGTCAGTGTTTTATTTTTTTCATTTCACTTTTTTTTTCAAACGGGGATGTCACAGGGGCCTATGTTTTCTTGGGTGTCCAAGGTCATTTTCTTAAATGAGAAAGGTGTGCAGGGGGAGGTTTGGGGACTACCTCTAGATCCATGCATAATCACTGATGTTTTTAAAAAAATAATTGAACTTGATTTCAGGACTTTCATTTTCCCGCTTAGGATTAGGGGAGGTAAACCCATTCCTTTGTTTCCTTTCATGGCCGCCTTTTTCTTCTGTTCAGTAAATGGTGCTCTACAGACGTACGGGATACTCCTATCGAACAACCAGATCCGCCACTGGTTCCAGGAAGCAAGATTCTGTTTTGGTGTGTAAAACAAAAAAAATTTTTAAATGACTCATAAAAGGGAATGAACTAGTTTTCAATTTCTAAAGTTTTCATACGCAAAAACCTCCACAGAAACACTTTCTAAAAAAATTAATTTATTTCATTTTATTTTTTAGGTATTATGTTATTTTTTACGGGGATGTGCATTAACATCCGGTCTGACAGTTTGCTGACGTCACTAAGGAGAGAGAAAGAAGGCACATATCGAACTCCAAGAGGTAGTTAGACATTTTTTTATCTATCTGTATGTTCACTGTTCTGTGGTACATGTACATATGTAGTCTGGGGAAGATGCAAAGAAAACTGCGTATCTCTCTTTTTAAACGAACTTTGAACTGTTTTCCAACTTAACTTTTTTTATCCTTACGATTTCTATTCGAGTACGTCTCTGGTGTTAACTTTTATTTTTATCCCTAAGATTTCTATTCGAGCAAGCGTCTATGTTGCTAACCTCATTTTTCCTCCAGGATTCCTATTCGAGTACGTCTCTGGTGCTAACTTCCTGGGAGAAATCGTGGAGTGGATCGGCTTTTCTGTGGCGTGTTGTAACCTCCCCTCTTTGGCCTTCGCTGTATTTACTCTGTGTAATATCGGCCCTAGGGCTTTCCATCATCACAGGTAATATACTGAGTATAGATACACTTCATTTCAAAAAGAAAAGATGTTTAATTTTTTATGGCATTGAGCTCAATTATAACATTTCACATCAGCAATAAAAGCAATGTACCAATTCACCTTACTCACATAAGTGATTGCTTGATTTATTTAATTTTATTTATTTTGTAGATTTTATCGGGAGAAATTTGAGGATTATCCAAAAGACAGAAAGGCTCTGATTCCGTTTCTTCTTTAGGACGGGGTTTTAAACACAAAATCACGGGGATCATGCAATAAATACAATTACATTTGTATATATTTTCCATAAATTTCTAAAGTTATGAAAAAACTAGTGTTAATTGTAACGGGGACCGTTACAGATGTTCCCCAATTCCTGTAAGACATTTTTAAAAGTATGAACAGTATCGAAGAAATTCATCAAAGAATTATAAAAGCTACAATGATATAAACTATATGTTATTTTAACGCATTGTAGGCGACCTCACGTACATGCATATGCAAGATGATCATGGCTTGTTGTCAAAACCATTAAGATATTTATATATCGTGAGAATCAATAAAAAAATCTTTAAATTATACATGCTACTGATTTTCAGATATATTGGTCATTTTGAGTATTTCGCGCGCACGTGCATGCATACATGTTCTTGCATTCAATCTTGACAGTAATGTAGACAATTATTATACCTTTACATATTCTAAATTTCATCCCGTTGTGTTGAAAACTAAGAAAGTTATAAGCATTTAAAGTTTCGGCCAATCAGATTGAAGCACACGTGCTTGCGCATGCTTTCATGAAAATTCTTATATATCAAGCTGTAGATCTTCATAATGTACGACTAAGTTCAAAATTTCAAAGGATTATGACAAAAAACAAGAAAGATATTGTTTCAGCCAATCAGAGCCAAACGCACGTGCATACGCCTGAGATCTTGCTATTTTGACTATGTCTTATCACCAATACTACTAATGTATCCTTACATTATGAATTTCAAAAATTCATCAAAAAATAAAAAAGTTACGATAATATCTGTTTTATTAGTCATTTCACGTGTTGCACGTGCGCGCTCTTGCAAGCAAGTGCGCGCAAAATTCCCTTCGTTCGGCAAATGAAACCTACATTACATGCCTACTGACCCTAAAAAGGTTTTACCTAAGTGGATGTGTAGTTTACAAGATCATTCGTGAACAAAATTTTCCCAGGGAGAAGAAAAATAATAACTAGAGAGTTTGCTATTGCAAGCAATAGCGTATGTCGCCCCGAACTGGACAAGACTTTCATTTTTTCATCGCTAAAACAATACCCATAAATTAGCTAAGCTTGGACAACAATCAACTCGTATCAGTACTTTCAGACCTTGATTTAAAAATCAAAGCTAAAGAACTTTCACTTTTCCCCCTTTTTCCATGGAAACTATTGACAATTTGCAATTTTTAAACCCAATGAGCACAATTACAGATACTTATCATTACATCAATAAAATTTCATGAAGAATGTTCAAGGGACCAGAGAGAACACTCGCGGACAACATTCGTCGCTTTTTGCAGGTTTCCATGGCAACGGTAGCCATTTTGAAACTGAATGACCACACAACACAACTACAACCAGTGATCCTCCTTTGAGGAAAGTTTCAGGACGATTGTTCCAGCCATCTCCGAGAAACAGCCTGGAGAACAAAAACATGGTACAATCGCAATATGTCACCCGACTTTGTTCGGGGCGACATAATATGTATTGGATATATGCCGAATACAGTTCTGTATTGAAAAATATCAGACAGTTTGAGGCCCGTTAGGGCCGAAAACTGTCTGATATTTTTTAATACAGAATTGTATGAGGCATACGAGGGTTGTCCCAAAAAGTCGTAGACAGGGAACATAGTTTATTTTCTCTTTGCTAAATCAAATTTCTTTTCTTGTCATAGCAAAAAGTAACATTTTATGATCATGTATTTCAAGTTTCATGACGATACCACATTTAATAAGAAAACTATGAAAAAATAAAGAAACTATGTAAGTGTACATCGGCGCACGAAAGCAAGCGTAATTTACGTCTGTCATGACGTCATGATTTCTTTTTCTGCTTCAAATGTGGATATTAACATCCAAATGAATATTTTTTTATAGTGAAAAACCACTCTTGACTAAGGGACTTATTAAAATTCACTACTGTCCGTTTTCTTAAGCAGATTCAAATTTTAGTCAAAATTTAGTTGAAAGATCTCCTTACATTTTAGGCAGCAGAGAATACACCTTGTTTGACTGCGTTCATGGCCCAGAACGTTCCCAAATGTCTGCGTTTAACAAACAGTACTCTACTTCTTACATGCAAGAACTATTTTTTTTCGATATAGAGAAAAAACTATCTTTGAATCTCCTGCTATTTAAAAACACCTTCTCTATTAAAATCTAGTGTGTAATGTCATTTCTGTACTCTTTCCCCGTCTTTAATGAAGATAAAAGATACCAAAAACAATTTATTACATTTCCGTGCGCCAAGTACGCGTTCGACGACGTCATTTTCATCAATCTCAATTCCAACAAGACTTTGAAAATCATACCATTAGTCGTCTGTTTCTAATTCAATATATATGAAATTTTGACATATTATTAATATTTTTATTCTGGTTTTAGTGATTTAAATTTTAGTTCAATCTTTTACATAGTACTAAAGAAATAAAAGCAAATGTAATAGTTATATGCGTAAATTATTCCGAATTTTGGTCGTGCGCCGACAGACCATATCGGCCTTCATATAAATCGTCCCAATACAATTGATTTGAAGGATATATATTTATGAATTCACAATTTTAAAGAACATTGAATGTATTATGTCTTTGCAAAATTTGGTTGGTAATGGTTGCGTGTTAAAAAAGTTATTAGCATTGTCTACGACTTTTTGGGACAACCGTCGTATATCGTATACTTAAAACATTGCTTTTGATTTACCTGAGACAGTCCGATATTGGAGCAAAAGACAAAATTGTTAATACATGTAACTACTGAAACAATTCTTTCAATAATGCAAGCTTAAATGTAAAGTACTCAGTATTTAAGGATTTGGCTACACTGAAGAAGGTATTTGAAAGAATTAGATAAGGAGAGTGGGGACAAAATTTTTCTTCATTAAAACATTCACGGAGATTAAAGCAGTGAAACAAATTGTCATGTCAGACAATCTAGATAATGGTGAATTTGGAATGGAATGGAAAATGCCGATATGAAGAATATCAACAGAAAATTAAGCAGATGCTAAAGGTACACTAGTCCATTTCATTTTTTTATGTTAAGCATCTACATATACCTTTGTTTTTGATGTTCTATGACAGAAAAACTAACATAATCAATAATGTAGGAGTTTTGAGGGAAACGTTGAAAATTTTCAAATTTCTTTCAAAATTTTGTTGCGAATCTGTCAAATTAAGTATTAATTATCATATACTAGGTCTATTACCTTGATTTTGCATCTAGGGATTTTTCTTTCTATGAGAAAAATGAAATCAAATTGTTTGAATGCTGCTCTTTATAGTGGCTAAACTTAAAGTTTGTGTCTTACTATGAAGTTATTTTTGGGGCTTTGAAAGTATATGTGCTCTGGTGACCCCCAGTGTACCCACTCTTTTTCAAAAACATGCAGAGAAAGGGGTTGAAATACTTCTCCAATTTTAATAAGTTTATTAGAAGTTTTCCCGGTTTTTTGTGGTGTTTTTTTTTTATTTGCATTTTCTGGTCTACCACATGTTTTTCTTCCAGTTACAGTATATTCGGTGTAATTGAAAGTTTAATCTTTTTTAATTTTGCAATTCTGCAATGTGAGAAATTTAAATTGCTGTTTGTTAAATTATCACACCTTTTATTTCTTTTGTTCAGTAGCAGTCCAATTTTGAAGGATATCAGTAATGAGAGAGTCTGATATTACGATTAATATCAGACTGCTCACTAATATCGGACTGACACAGGTAAAATTTTAGACTGCAAGAACAAAGGAATGACATCACAGCAATGTTTTAAGATAAGAAACAGAGTAAAAACTTCGTTTGGGGAATATAATAAGGAGAAAAAACTATACTGGCGGACTTGATCTGTCTCAATGAAAAGTCTCAACACTTTTCACGGTTGATTAGTGGTATGCATGGTGTTTTACGCCAAGTTGGCTGTGCATTTACATGTGACCAATTTGGTTTTAACTTTCATTTACTGCAATTTCATTAAACAAGAAACCTATAGACCACATCCTTCACCTTAGCGCATTATCTGGCAACAAGAGGCCCATGGGCCACATCACTCACCTGAGTATATTGGCTAGAAAACGGCACACATCAGTTAATTATTGAAAGTAGGGCTTGAAATTTAAATTATTTGAGAATACTTCCATATCTATAACAATGGCTTCGATGCTCTTAAACAGATTTTTCCCTATATATTCCTTTGTAAAAAAAATTCATCCATATTGTGACCCCTCCCTATCCCTGGATATTCGGGAATTTCGGGACGCTTTAGATTAACACATCCTTGCACTTTCACAAATTTTAACTTTATTCTTAATACTTCAGAAAAGTAGCAATTTCGTATAAGTTTTGTTTAAGTTGCATATTTGAATGACAAACTATCTACTGAATGGATATACAACTAGCAATCTGCGCATACAAAATTCATGCCAAACAAGAGATGTTTATGAAACAGTTACCCCTCCCCCCTCCATGATTGGAATTTTTCTAAATCGAAGAGGCATAACACTGACAGCAATTGCTTCTTCTTACCTAAAAGAGAATTTGGTCTAGATATTGTTATGATGAATCTGTATATTGAATCTCATAATGAAATGAACGGAAACTGCAAATAATTGGAATTTTCATAAATCCAAGGGACATAACTCTGTCAAAGATCGTACCCAAACAAAACATGATAAATCTTTGTTACAAATTTCATTCAGTATGTGCAACCTCTGCGAAGAAAATGAACGGAAATTGTAAATAATTGGAAATTTTCTAAGTCCAAGAGGAATAATTCTGTCAAATATTGGTCGACAGTACCCCAATTAGAACTTGACCTGGGTGCTTGTATGATAAATATTTATACCAAATTATTTGTCAGTAAAAGCAACCTCTGTGAAGAAACAGAACGGAAACTGTTGGTGGATAGACCGACTAACAAATCAGCAAAGCATTATGCCTTCCCTTCTTCGATAGAGAGCATGAAAAAAAGAAGAAGAAAAGTTTTAAAATTCGCAGCACAGTTAAGGTTACAGTAAGGAGGCGGGCCTAATTTATACGGGAAATATTTAC